AATTATTTCTTTGCTAATAGTAAGAATAATTAAACAAAAAAACAAATAAGGAACGTGGAAAGAAAATATCGCGACTTCTATGGAAGTATAAAAAACAATAAACAAAAATAGAAACTCAAATAAATAAAAATAAGAATATTTTTAAATAAATAAAATATATTTTCAAATAAATAAAATTGCAAAAAAAATAAGGAACCTAGACTAAAAATTAATAAACTAAAATAAAAATATATATATTAAAATATTAAAATATTAAAATTTATAACAAAAAAACGAAACAAAATCTTTATCTTTATGAAATAATAATTATAGAAATCTAAAATAAAGAAAATAGAAAAAATAAAAAGAAAAAAGTTTTTTAAATATTTAAATAATGCGTATTTATAAGTATTAATAATAATAATCAACTACAAATTAAATTTCTTTGCTAGTAATAAGAGAATTAAACAGGAAACATAAATAAGGTAACACAAGTTAAAAATTGCAAAAAAATACACCAATTTATAAATACATATAGGTTATCAATTTTACAAAGAGTTTGTATGAACAATATAGTTTATCTATTTTGACTACGCAATGTATGTTAGTTTTAATTTAAAAATTTTTTTATAAATTCTGTTAATAATGTATAATATTCAATTTTGACAATTAAATTTTTTAAATTTTATATTACATAGACCAATGGCTGATTAATTTATAATGTATATTGTAAAACATAAATTGTTTATAAGTAAATAGAATTATTAAGTAAAAAAAAATATATCTATATATACTATTTAAATACTGAAATTATAATGATAAATTAAAATAACCATTGTAAATACTAATGTAATATAATAAATGTAAGTTGTAATACCCAATATTAAATAATTTACACTATAAAAGGGGAGTTGTGTATATTGTTTATATTTAAGCTATATTGTTCGTATTTCTGTTTTTTCAAATTGAAATGTCTATAAAAACTTGTTTATTTAATATTTTTCATAAATCATTTATTTAATATTTTTTATAAATCAATTTGATTTTTTATAAATGTTATAATTGGAAAAATATAATAAATCAATTTTGCACAAAAATGTATAAAATAATATCTTATCTTTAATAACTAAATTTTAACCGTTGTATTTTCAGCTGTTTATCAATATGTTTTGTCATCATAATTATGTGTCACTGTATGTGTAATGTTTAGTTCCAAAAAACGGATAACGAAGAATTAGCTGTCGCAAAATTAAACTCAATTCAAATTATGTCTTTATATGGTTATATGACAAATTAATCTGAACTTAAAAAAAAAACAATATTTATTATCATTTATTATCGTAAAACCATTAAAAAAAAAAAAAAATTAAAATCCATTATTGTTCCTTCCTTCATAATTATGACATATGTAATTTTTCAATAATATTACAAAAAGCATTTACTTAATTTTGCAATAATGTTACAAAAAGCATTAATTCTCGATATCCTTTTGAGGTAAAATAAATTAAACAAGTATACACAATTTGTTATAAGATGAAACAAATTAAAAAATGTTTTTACAAAACTAAAAAGGTTTTAAATATATTATGCAGAGAATATAGAGATAATTGAATATAGAGCTAGTTGAAATAAATAGTATTATTTTTTCTTAAAAATGAAATAAAATATTCTCTAAAAAACAAAAGCTCTGCAATTGTGTCCTTTTTGCATATTTTTATATACATTTATTTCAAAAAATATTAAAATATTCTATTTTTTACAGACCTTTAGCCTTTTGTTGAATAACAGGCGTTATTTTAGGCAACAGTGTATTGCTCAATTTTAATCTTGCTTTCTCGAAAGACTATCGAAGACAACGTTTGCGATAGGATATGAAATACATAAATAAATATACAAAGTTATACGCGTAATAATAAAAGACTTCTTAGATTGTTATTAGATCGATGGAAGTCAAAACGCGATTGATAAGTTAATTACCAAAAGATATTTTAAATTTAGTATTTAAAATTGTCTTAAAATTAGACATACATAAATCCAATGAAGAAATTGTATATTCCACGCATTAAGAAATAAATATTGTTTATTTTCACTGATTTTTGTACATGTACATCTATATATATAAGCACCGTCTGTCTGTCTGTCTGTACCCGAACTACTTCCGACACCTTCTGGAATGCCAGTTCATCGGCTTAAAATAAAAGTTGGTGCTACAGTAATCTTATTAAGAAATTTAAATACTAAAAAGGACTTTGTAATGGAATAAGATTTATTATAACTAATTTGAAAAATAATATAATTTATGTAGAAGTTATAACAGGTCCTGCTCGAGGACAAATTGTTATGATTCCGAGGATAGATTTAATTACAAATGATTTGGAACTGCCATTTAAGTTTAAACGAAGACAGTTTCCTATTCGAGTGTCATTTGCTATGACAATAAATAAATCACAAGGACAAAGTTTAGAAAAAATTGGAATTTATTTGCCACATCCTGTATTTGCTCATGGTCAACTTTATGTGGCATTTTCTAGAGCAACAAAAAGAGAAAGTGTAAAAATTAAAATTGATGAATGTAGCAATCAAGGACATTTAATTGAAGAAAGTGAAAAATGTTTTACAAAAAATGTAATATACAGGGAAATTTTGTAAATTGAAGAATTATGACATTGTATGAGAGCTAATAATAGCGGGTTAGCGGTGGGTGCATTAGAAATAAAAAAAATTGAGTAAAATGTAAAAAGGATATAATAATTAAGTAATAAAAAAAATATTTAAAGTATATATTAACTAAAATAATGTTTTATATTTAAAAATATGAAATTTTGTGGAAATTAAAATAAACAAGAAAATAAAAATAAAAATATATAATAAATATTTAAATATATGCAAAACGCGGTGTAAAATAAAATATCTGGGAGAAAGAAATAGATAACATAGTAGTCATCCAAAAAAAATTTAAACATTTATTTTGATATAAATTTCGTGAAAGTCGGACAACAAATATGGAAGTAGTTCGCGGTAATACAAAAAAGAATTAATTTTTTGTGTTAAAACGGATTTATAATATAGGCTATGAGGAATGAGAAAGGCTTTGAGGACCGCGCGAAGCGCGGTCCGAAAAGCTAGTTATTTCATATTTTTCTATTTTCATCAAAATTATGTTTCTTATTTATTTCTTTAAGAAGTTAAACTGTACTTAAATTTAATAAAAACTATTTCATTTTGATAAAATAAAACTTTTATTATAATAGTACATGCAATTAGTAAATAAAATAGAAATGGTTTAATAAGGTATGATTATATAAAAATTAGTTATAAAAAGCACAGTCTTAAGTAATAAAATATTTTTACATAAAGGAAGTTTGATTTATAAACACTAAATTATCGGCAATATTATTCGCCAAAGTTATGCATTTAAGAAAAATGTAAAGATTTTTTAGAAGGTGCCGAATAAACATACGAGAATATATATTTTTGACATTAAATTTATTATTAAATTTTAATTTCATTAATTTAATATTCGTTATTCTTACAGATTTAAATACCTAATTAATATATAAAACTTTGTGTATATGTATATATGTATGTATATGCATGTGTATACATATTACATAATAAATATTATATAAATGTAATCAATATTTATATAAATATTAAAATAAAATAGTATAAAAGTTAATTTAACATTTGTGATATTAAATATATAATTATTAACAATAAAAAAAATAATTAAAATCAATAAGTAAGTATAAAATATTGTTGTATAATATATTAATAATAGATATATAAAAACAATACACATTTTATACTTATTTATTGATTTCAATTATTTTTTTATTGTTATAAATTATAAATTTAATTTTCGCGAATTTCGGACGATTTTTGATTGGTCAATTATAAACTTCTATAACTTTTCATTTGAAAACTAATGCAGCCTTGACATTTTAGTATTAGGATTTTCATTTCGAAATGATTTCAGAAATATCCCATTAACGGATGGCACGTTAAGTCTGGAACACTCTGTATATGTCATTTTTAAATAAATTTTTGTTAAAAAATAATATTGTTTTTAAACTTAAGCAGTACCATCTAGTTCTTAAAGGCTTAAAAAATTTAAATTTTCAAATTCAATGTGTTTGAAGCTAAATTGGTGACTCACAATATGGTTTCTTTAATTTCATATTATTTTGACTTCTTCTTTCTTTCTCAAATTAACTTATTAAAAATACGCGTATTAAATATTCAAATATAATACTAGAATATGTTTAGAGATTTAAATTTTATTTTTTTTTAACTTCCTAAATTTTACTTTTCTCATTAATAAACATAAAAGAAAATATATTTATTTACACATTTTGATTTTATTTTTCTTATTTGATTATTTAAAAACTGTAATACAAAAGAGAAACGTAATGTAAAAGAAAATAGTGAAAAAGAATATAACATGAGATAAAAATTAATTCAAAAAGAAACAGTATTTTAAAATACAGAAAAATTGAGATAGAAAAAGTGCGTATGTATATAAAAAATTTGTATGACAATATTATTCAAATGTATTATACATATATTTAAAAAGATATAAAAATTTTTTTAGAAAATAGAAAATAAACATACAAAATAAAAATTTAGGATTACAATTAATATTACATTAAATCTTGTTATTATAATATGTGTTATATTATAATAGAATTAAAATTATTAATATATATAACATTATAAATGTGTTAATATTAAAATAATTATCAAAATTAGAAAAATAGTAATACTAATAATAGAGTAATAGTAATACTACAGTACAGTAATAGTAATACTGTAATAGTAACATCAATAGTAATACTAATGTAAAAAATTAATAAATTATTAATTATACTTTATATAGTTTATACCTCTTATAGATTAATATTAATATATAATATTTGCTAAACATCTGCGATTTACTATTTAATATTTAATAGATATACATATATACAGTACACATAATGTATATATATATATGTATGTATAAATAGTTTGTTCCTTGAAATATTGTTGGTGTATTTGTTGAAGTTAAACTTTTAGTGATATAGTTAAATGTATTAAGGCTTTGCAATCTTTGCATATATATCTTCATAAAATTTCACCTGACTGACCAGTTGTTCAGAACGTATCTTTAACTTATTTTTAGTACTCAAATATAATTCCAGTGCAAATTCTTTTATCTAAAATAAATTTTATTTTATAAAACAAAAATACGACAATTTTTAAACTATTAGCATAAATATATCGATATATATAAACATATATATATATATATATATATATATATATATATATACAGGGTGTCCCATAATTCGCGAACCACCGCGAATGGGCAGATAGAGCGTGTTAAACTGAAAAGTCCTGTATCATTTTGCGATATTCGTAATAATTATTGAGTTATTAACTAAAATATCTAAACGAATGAGCGGGTAGAAAGCGGTAGGCCGGACTCGGTGTGGATTTCGGATGACTTATTTGTTATATGCTGCTTAGTATCAAAAGTATCATCTTACTTTTCGGCGCCAGTACATTGCTCGCCGCTCGCTGCATGACGCCGCCTCTGTATCAAATAATGCTTTCTACCTGCTTATTCGTTTAGATATTTTAATAAATAACTCAATAATTATTGCGAATATAGCAAAATGATACAGGACTTTTCTATTCAGTTTAACACGCTCTATCTGCCCATTCGCGGTGGTTCGCGAATTATGGGACACTCTGTATATATATATGTATATGAGGTATTACAAAGAAAAAGAAAAAAATTGTTTATTACGTATCTCTAAGATATTGGACATATTTTTATGAAAATTTAATACAAAAAAAAAGTTTATCAATTTTTAAAATTTACCGTAGAAAGTTGCTTTTGGGAATATGCATTGTTAATCATAACAATTAATGCTGCATTCGTAATGGTTGTTCTACATGAAAAAAGAAATATGTAAAAATTTATAATTGACAAAATATTTTTATAAAAAAAAGCTCACGAGAAATGTATATTTACCTTAATGTATCATATGGATAATACGAATGTATCATGAAATAAATGAAATCAAAATTTTTCAATAATCGTTTAAATATTGCTTCGTTCTTAACATGTCTCGCAATAGTAGAAATAAAAATATTAATCTCCAAAGTATACATTTTATTACGTTTTACTTTTTCTGATGCTTCATTACTCTTAAAAACAAATTTACTAATAACGATAAGTAATTGTTCAGGTAACTATAGACAATTGCAGGATCTTCGGAACAACTAAGAAATTCGAATATTTTATGATCAGATTTCTTTTTATATATATTAATTGCGGAGTAAGATATATTAACCCACATTCTTTTATTCACATATAATAAACCATTACAATATATCCATTTCTGCCACCCAGGCAAAATCCTTCGACATACAGAAAAAGAAATGTTTTTTATTTAACATATTTATTATATATCATTAATTAGCATATAATCTTTTAAAACATAAAAAATAAATATAATCAAATATTAAAATTACAATAAATATATATAATAAAAATATAAATAATAATAATAAACATAAATAATAATAATAATAATCAACTCAATTTATTTTAATGGCACAACTTTAAGTGTATTTATGAAAATATATTTATTGTAACATTTTGCATAAAAAATCATAAGAGTAATATAACCAAAAAGATAGAACTAGATATTTTATATCTGACATATTTTAATATAGAAATACAAAACATCTTGTAAAATATTTAATATACTATATTCTTATATTAATATTTTATGTATAAAATAACTAAATATTTTGTAAAATCAAAAATTCTTGACTAATTTATATTAAATTTTTTATGCAGAATGTTTACTAAGAATTTATTTATATAAAAAATTATTTTTTATATACAAATAAATATTGTACAATATGAAAGAAACATATATATACATGTATATATATATATGAAATGTATATATATATATATGAAATTTACATATAAGTGGACATACTTTATACATATGTGTTGTTATATATATAAATACATATATATTAATACATAATTTTTATACAAATCTATATATATAAGCACCGTCCGTCTGTCTGTCTGTCTGTACCCGAACTACTTCCGCATTTGTGGACCGATTGTCTCGAAATTGGTACCAAAATGTTGCAAATTTTTCGGGGGTGGCTGCTGTGGGGTTTTTTTTTAATTTTTTTATTTTTATTTTTTTTCCTCAGAGGAGGGTATGTTTTTGCAAAAAAAATTTTTTTTGCAATATTTCTGAACACATGGTATCAAAATGTTGCAAAATTTTTGGAGATAGCGACGATGCGGTTTTTTTAAATGTTACACTTCCACCCACTCACCCACCCACGCATTTACCCACATGCATGCGCATTTATGGACCAATTTTCACGAAATTAGTACCAAAATGTTGCAAATTTTTCTGAGGAAACTGCTGTGTGGGTTTTTTAAGTTTACGCCTCCACCCACGCACCCACCCGCGCAATCGCATACTTATGAACCGATTTTTTTTAAATCGGTACTAAATTGTTGCAAATTTTTTGAAGATGGAGACGATGCGGTTTTTTCAAGTGTTACACCTCCACCCACGCACCCACCCACGCCCATGCGCATTTATGGACCAATTTTCACGAAATTGGTACAAAAATGTTGCAAATTTTTCTGAGAGAGCTGCTGTGTGGGTTTTTTAAGTTTACGCCCCCACCCACGCATCCACCCACGCAATCACATATTTATGAACGGATTTTTGTAAAAATTGGTACCAAAATGTTGCAAATTTTTTGGAGATGGCGGCGATGTGGTTTTTTCAAGTGTTACACCTCCACCCACGCATTCACCCACACGCATGCGCATTTATGGACCAATTTTCACGAAATTGGTACAAAAATGTTGCAAATTTTTCTGAGAAAGCTGCTGTGTGGTTCTTTTAAGTTTTATCCCACCCATGCATCCACCCACGCATTCAAACATTTATTCACAGACTTTTTCGAAATTTGTACTCAAATTTTGTCCGGGATGGCTACTATATGATTTTAACAAATTTTATCACTTTATTTATCCACCCACGCACCCACCCACGTATCCACGCACCCATGTGCATACGCATTTATTGACTTGGTCACACCAAGAAGTAATTTTTAAAAAATTTGCCTTTATTGACTGTATTGTAAGTGATGATCCACAGGAGCAATTAAATTTTCCAACTGAGTTTCTAAACTCACTGACACCTTCTGGAATGCCAGTTCATCGGCTTAAAATAAAAGTTGGTGCTACAGTAATCTTATTAAGAAATTTAAATACTAAAAAAGGACTTTGTAATGGAATAAGATTTATTATAACTAATTTGAAAAATAATATAATTTATGTAGAAGTTATAACAGGTCCTGCTCGAGGACAAATTGTTATGATTCCGAGGATAGATTTAATTACAAATGATTTGGAACTGCCATTTAAGTTTAAACAAAGACAGTTTCCTATTCGAGTGTCATTTGCTATGACAATAAATAAATCACAAGGACAAAGTTTAGAAAAAATTGGAATTTATTTGCCACATCCTGTATTTGCTCATGGTCAACTTTATGTGGCATTTTCTAGAGCAACAAAAAGAGAAAGTGTAAAAATTAAAATTGATGAATGTAGCAATCAAGGACATTTAATTGAAGAAAGTGAAAAATGTTTTACAAAAAATGTAATATACAGGGAAATTTTGTAAATTGAAGAATTATGACATTGTATGAGAGCTAATAATAGCGGGTTAGCGGTGGGTGCATTAGAAATAAAAAAAATTGAGTAAAATGTAAAAAAGGATATAATAATTAAGTAATAAAAAAAATATTTAAAGTATATATTAACTAAAATAATGTTTTATATTTAAAAAATATGAATTGTGTGGAAATTAAAATAAACAAGAAAATAAAAATAAAAATATATAATAAATATTTAAATATATGCAAAACGCGGTGTAAAATAAAATATCTGGGAGAAAGAAATAGATAACATAGTAGTCATCCAAAAAAAATTTAAACATTTATTTTGATATAAATTTCGTGAAAGTCGGACAACAAATGTGGAAGTAGTTTGAGGTAATACAAAAAAGAATTAATTTTTTGTGTTAAAACGGATTTATAATATAGGCTATGAGGAATGAGAAAGGCTTTGAGGACCGCGCGAAGCGCGGTCCGAAAAGCTAGTATATATATATATATATATATATATATATATATGTACCCAAATAGCCACAGTAATTATTATGACATCAAAATAATGTCATAATAATTACTATGGCTATCTGGGTATATATGTATTAGGCTGTTCACTAAGTTCTGCGGCTTTATTGAACGGCTGAAAAACATAACATGCACTGTTTGAACCGCGGCTTATCTCATATCATTTGAAAGGTTAGATCACGCTTGGCATTTCGCCAAAAACTTGGTAGCATTTTGACATGTTTTGTACGTGTACTATTTGGTAATGATGGATCAAAAAATACATTTTCGATACATTTTGCTATTCTGTTATCAGAAAGGAATAAAAGCGACAAACGCACAACGCGAAATATGTGATGTGTACGGGGACTCAGTCATAAGCCCCGGCACTTGCCAGAGTTGGTTTGCGCGCTTCCGTTCTGGAAATATGAACCTCGAAGATGCTCCTCGCTCCAGTCGGTCATCCACCAATGATGACCAAATTTTGGCCGCAATCGAAGTTGACCGGCTTCTAACGACGCGGGAGATCGCAAAACTCTTTAATATCGCTCATACTACTGTTGCAAACTTAAAACAGCTTGAAATGCCGAAAAAGATATATGGATGTTTGTTTCAATTTAAAGTAAAAAAGCCGCAGAACTTTGTGAACGACCTAATATATAAAATATATGTGTGTGTATAAATATATATATAAATAGAACATATACAGGTACATACAGTCATATATAATTATGTACATATAAATTTCTTATCAGGTAATATATCAAATATATACTTATAAAATTTTAAAAATAGATGTTTATACAAATATATAATAATTTCATTAAAATTTACCTATTTTCTTGAGGATTCTCTACATGCAATCTCAATTGTGTTCTGGCCTTTTCAATACATAAAGTATTGTTCATAATGCAGCTCCATTTTGCAATTTCCTGCATTAAATATTTATCAATATCGTATTTACTAGATGCCATGTCATCGATAATGTGATTTTCTACACGTTCAAACAGACTTTTTATTTTTCCTAATATTGTCTGCAATTGGACAAAAAAATATTTTTCTATTAGATTATATAAAAAATAAATATAATACACACATATATATTACATATGCATATAATAATAAATAAACATTTTAATTCTGTACAACAGCATTATGTAATACATGCGTTTGCAATTGAAAAAATATTATGATATATTACGTTACATTCTTTAAAAATTATTAAAAAACACTCGACTTTTATTAAAAAATTGATTTGTAAAGTAATTAGTAAGATTTCTGTTTGTACTTAAAAATATATCACATTAAACGTCATAATTATCGTATTTCTTATATATTTTTATACTTCCAACTCTATTTGATAAGTTTTTGTAATATATTTTTAAAATAAATCATAAAATTCAAATTAATTTGCTTATATTTTATGTTTTATGTTATATTATACTAAGACTTTTTTTGAATAATTTTTCATATTTATTTTATTTTAATTATTAGTTTATTAAAAATAGTTTTATTCACATAAATTTACTGTTGTATATTTAGTTCATTGCATGTCTCATGTTAGATTTTACAGTGCGTTATTATTTACTAGCTTTTCGGACCGCGCTTCGCGCGGTCCTCAAAGCCAGCCTTTCTATTCGGACCGCGCTTTGCGCGGTCCTCATATAGTCTATATTAAATCCGTTTTAACACAAAAAATTAATTCTTTTTTTGTATTACCGCGAACTACTTCCACATTTGTTGTTCGACTTTCACGAAATTTATACCAAAATAAATGTTTAAATTTTTTTGTGGATGACTACTATGTTATCTATTTTTTTCTCCCAGATATTTTATTTTCTTTTTTTAAGACACGCTTTCTCTCTCTCTCACTCTAAAACACACGCGCTCCCTCTCTCTCTCTTTAAGACACATGCTCTCTCTCTCCTTATCTCTCTCCCTCCCTCTTTCTTTAAGACACACGCTCTCTCTCTCTCTCTCTCTCTCTCTCTCTCTCTCTCTCTCTCTCTCTCTCTCTCTCTCTCTCTCTCTCTCTCTCTCTCTCTCTCTCTCTCTCTCTGTGTGTATGTGTGTGGGTTTTTTTAAGTTTACGCTTTCACCTACGCATCCACCCACACAATCGCATATTTATGAACGGATTTTTTAAAAAATTGGTACCAAAATGTTGCAAATTTTTGGCGACGATGTGGTTTTTTCAAGTGTTACACCTCCACCCACACGCATGCGCATTTATGGACCAATTTTCACGAAATTAGTACCAAAATGTTGCAAATTTTTCTGAGAAAGCTGCTGTGTGGTTTTTTTAAGTTTTATCCCACCCACGCATGCATCCACGCATTCACACATTTATTCACATACTTTTTTGAAATTTGTAGTTAAATTTTGTTGGAGATGGCTACTATGATTTTAACAAATTTTTATCATCCTATTCATCCACCCACGCACCCATGCACCCATTTGCATACGCATTTATTGACTTGGTCACACCAAGAAGTAATTTTTAAAAAATTTGTGTACGTATTTGTGATTATGTGTGCAATTCGTGTAAATAAACCTTTAATTTGTATGCAATTTTCACGAAATTAGTACCAAAATGTTGCAAATTTTTGCAATCACAAACATGTACACAAATTTATTTAAAATTACTTATTGGTGTGACCAAGTCAATAAATGCGTATGCACATGGGTGCATGGGTGCGTGGGTGGATGAATAGGATGATAAAAATTTGTTAAAATCATAGTAGCCATCCCCAACAAAATTTGAGTACAAATTTCGAAAAAGTCTGTGAATAAATGTGTGAATGCGTGGGTGAATGCGTGGGTGGGATAAAACTTTAAAAAACCACACAGCAGCTTTCTCAAAAAAATTTGCAACATTTTTGTACCAATTTCGTAAAAATATTGGTCCATAAATGCGCACGCGCGTGGATGAATGCGTGGGTGGAGGTGTAACAATTGAAAAAACCACATCGTCGCCATCTTCAAAAAATTTGCAACATTTTGGTACCAATTTTAAAAAAATCGGTTTATAAATATACGATTGCGTGGGTGGGTGCGTGGGTGGAGGCGTAAACTTAAAAAAATAAAACACCAGCTTTGTCAGAAAAATTTGCAACATTTTGGTACTAATTTCGTGAAAATTGGTCATAAATGCGCATGCGCGTGGGTGGGTGCGTGGGTGGAGGTGTAACACTTGAAAAAACCGCATCGTCGCCATCTCCAAAAAATTTGCAACATTTTTGTACCAATTTCGTAAAAATATTGGTCCATAAATGCGCACGCGCGTGGATGATTGCGTGGGTGGAGGCGTAAACTTAAAAAAATAAAACACCAGTTTCCTCAGAAAAATTTGCAACATTTTGGTACTAATTTCGTGAAAATTGGTCCATAAATGCGCATGCGTGTGGGTGGATGCGTGGGTGGATGCGTGGGTGGAGGTGTTACACTTAAAAAAACCGCATCGTCGCTATCTCCAAAAATTTTGCAACATTTTGATACCATGTGTTCAGAAATATTGCAAAAAAAAAATTTTTTCGCAAAAACATACCCTCCTCTGAAGAAAAAAAATAAAAATAAAAAAATTAAAAAAAAAACCCACAGCAGCCACCCCCGAAAAATTTGCAACATTTTGGTACCAATTTCGAGACAATCGGTCCACAAATGCGGAAGTAGTTCGGGCACAGACAGACAGACAGACAGACGGACGGTGCTTATATATATAGATTAAATTAATCCCTCTCTCTCTTCTCTCTCTCTCTCTCTCTCTCCTCTCCCTCCTCAATATTATATATAATAATATAATATTATAAATAAATATTATGTAATATAATCATTTTTTGCAGTAAAACAGAAAGCTCGATGGGCAAGAGCCGGAAGAGGTACCAATTTAAAAAAAATCGGTTCATAAATATACGATTGCGTGGGTGGGTGCGTGGGTGGAGGGGTAAACTTAAAAAAATAAACCAGTAGTTTTCTCAAAAAAATTTGCAACATTTTGGTACTAATTTCGTGAAAATTGGTCCATAAATGCGCATGCGCGTGGGTGGATGCGTGGGTGGGTGCGTGGGTGGGGGTGTAACACTTAAAAAAACCGCATCGTCGTTATCTCCAAAAAAATTTGCAACATTTTGATACCATGTGTTCAGAAATATTGCAAAAAAAGATTAAACATACCCTCCTCTGTAGAAAAAAAAAAAAATTAAAAAATTAAAAAAAAAACCCCACAGCAGCCACCCCCAAAAAATTTGCAACATTTTGGTACCAGTTTCACGAATATCGGTCCACAAATGCGGAAGTAGTTCGCGTACATACATACAGACAGACGGTGCTTATATATATAGATTTTAGTAAAGGTGGAGATGAAAAAAGTCGATTTCCGGACTATCGATGGAACCTAAAATTCGAGTTCCATGGATATCTATGAACCATATAAGATGTAAAAATGATGGTCTTTTTTCAGACCTGGGGAAAGTATTGAAAATTTATCAAAACTTTTGAAAATAGCATTATTCGATCGATCTGAAGACAACTATAAAATTGATGACATGGATGAATTTTCAATCAAATTAAGTTTTAGTTAAGCACTTATTAAATAGTTTTCGAGATCAATAATGTTTTAATATCGGGATTGCAAAATTCAAGATTGCGGATCCAATATGGTGGATCAGTATTGAGAAAAAATAAATTCCAGGATGTAGTTACTTCCGAATAAAAGATCTAATTTCACATTAAAATACATTATGTTTTTTAATTTGTTTATTTAAATATTTTTGTTTCATTGTTGAATAGAATTCTTTAGTTCTAACATAGAGAATATTAATAGTTCTCATATTAATTATTTACTATTAATATTCTCTATGTTAGAATTAAAGAATTCTATTTAACAATAAAACAAAAATTTTTAAATAAACAAACTAAAAAACATAATGTATTTGAATGTGTAATCAGATCTTTTATTCGGAAGTAACTACATTCTGGCGTCTAGTTTCTCTTAATATTGATCCCCCATATATTGGATCCGCAATCTTGAATTTTGCGATTCCGATATTAAAATATTATTGATCTCGAAAACTATTTTTGATAAGTGTTTAACCAGAATTTGGTTTCATTGAAAATTCATTTATATGTCATCAATTTTAGTTGTCTTTAGATCGACCGAATGACGTTATTTTCAATAGTTTTGATAGATTTTCAATACTTTCCCCAGGTCTCTAAAGAAAAAAGACCATTATTTTTACATCTTATATGGTTCATAGATACCCATAAAACTCGAATTTTAGGTTCCATCGATAGTCGGAAAATCGATCTTTTTTAACATCCTCCTTTTAAAATTAACTTCAATTATATATGATTAATTTATATACAGATACTTGAAGATAATTTTATTTGATCTATTTATAAATTTATTTGTTATATTTATAAATTTTCAGATGCATACTAGAGTTTACTGCATTTTAAATATTAATTCAACCGATTTTCGGGCTGACATTTTTTTCGCCTATAACTTTACAGGGCAGTTAAAAAAGGGAGCACATAAATTAGAGAACTAAACCAAAAATACTATTTCTAATTAGAGAAAAAATTAAGTTTTGCAAATAACAGACGTAAAAGACATCGCGTAAGACTCCACAGCCGATATATATATAAATGATATGTTAAATATTAATGTAAAAAATAAAATATTTAATTTTTTATTTTTAAATATTTCTAGCAAACATCAAATATTTATTAATGTTTTGGATCCTTCTAATATGTAAAAAAATTTATCGATATAATTTAAAATACCTTAAATACTTCTGAAGGATAGGGTTCAGAATTAAAAAATGGAATAATATTTGACATGTATTCCAGAGCTTTAAACATAGGATACCATGCCACATAGTCTTTCTCTTGCCATAAATAACTCGAGAGTTCCCAAAATGTGGAAAAATTAAGTTTCCCCTGTGTCATCAGATGGAATGAGTCATCGATTATTTGGGCTCGATTCAGAACATGTATATTTGTATACTGTCCAGAATTTAAATAACGCGCAATTAATTTCCAATTTTCGTCATCATAATTGACGCGATAAAATCCTGTACACACGGCATAAATATTAACTTATTTTTTTGTTCAAAGTTATGGAATAAAAATATTCCGAATATATATGTCTTTATTGTCTTATGATTTAAGAACGTATTAATTATACTAGAAATTGGGCACATATTTTACAGTAGAAAAAATAATGGCAAATTCTTATATATTGCTAACTATAGAATAAAATCCCGATAATTGAAAAGAAAATAGAATCTTTAAAAACAGATTAATGTATAAAGGAATTGTATAAACAAAAACTGATTATAGTTAGAAAAGTAACAATAGTTGAAATTTTTTTTTATTATTTTAAACTAACCAAGGTGTTTCTTATATTTATTGTATAATAACAAAATACGAACATATTAAACTTCGTGTTTTAATATTTACCAATTTGTTGTAAGTTGAAAATTATCCATTTTTTTGGAAAAAAGAAGTGCATTTCCCACTTTGGATTTGAGGGCGTCAAATAAATATCTGAACCAGTTACATTAAAATTTATACTTGCTTCCTCAGTAAATGTGACAGGTATACAATATGGATTCTGATCCATGTCGGCCTGAAACTCTAAGAATATTCTCGCACAATTTCTAGAATAATATCGTGTAACATTTAGCACGGGATAATGCTGCTGCATAGACCAAATAGCCATAATCTTTTTTATGTCCAAATTATATTTTAATAGTTTTAATTCATTTCTAGCAAACGGTATAATGCTCCATAAATCATTGAAAGTATTTGCCATATCAGGAGAAATAAATCTGTAAAATTTAAAAATGTGATAACACCATACAGCACTGAGTAGCAATTAGAAAATATGTATAAAATTATGATAATTATTTGTTTTCATTAATATTGCTAAAATAATTCACTTAGATTAATATCGATTCTCATGAAAATCAAATTATAATGACATAATAATTTTTATACACACATTGTACAAAATAATCTACATTTCCAAATTAATGAAATATAAATAAATTGCATTAAAAAACATACACATGTTTAAGTGTATTTCGTAAATATATTATTTTAATATTTATATTAAGTTTGTTATGTTTAAGAGACCTTAAAATATATTATTTAAACATTTATATGAATATTTATATACGTTATGTATTTCTATTAAGTTTATCTCTGTCTTTATTTATTTATTAATTAACGATATTAATAATACTTAGCAATATTTAATATCTTTTTTATCTTTTTATGTTTGTTACTTATGGAAGTTTGAATTGTCATTGTATATATTTTCATATATGTTAATCTTACAGTTTTTATCTTCTTTAGGAAAGTTTATTTAGGATTTGCTATTATTTTGTATTTACTTTCCTGTGTGTCTCTATGTGTTTTAATAATAATAATAACACTATATTACAACTAAAAATTATTTTAAACCAAATAAAATAATTTTTCTAAATTTTTGACTTGTAAAAACGGAGTCGAAAACTAAATTTTTCATTAGCATTTCAGTTCTCCAAAATAATTGAGATTTAATGTGTAGAAAAGGATTTTCTTGCAATATTTTTGAGATTTTTTTATAAAAGAAATAACGTTATTTAATAATCTGATCATCATATCACGAGGAGAAGGATGAACGATAGATCATTCCCTATAATACACATTATTTTTATTTCAATATCTTTCTTTTCAGTCGTGTTGAAAAGGATTTAAATACAGAATTTTGATGAATTTCCAATTAGTGTTAATCATATTTTCCAAAAATATCAATTATTTAACAAAAACTATTTCTTACATAATAAATCTCAATTATTTCAAAAACCTGACGTACTGGTAAAAATTGGTTTACGTCATCGTTTTCAGCATAAAATTGTTTCCATAATTTTATAAGATTTTTGAAAATTTGAAAGAAACACCATTTAAATAAGAATAAAAAAAGAAAAAATTTTTTATAAATTAATATTATTATATTGCATTGTAAGTATTACTTACTTCCTATTTAAATAATTGTCAATACTTCTCCAAAATAAGATAGATGAAATTATTTTTTCTAACATGCGCCAAAGGGCTGCTCCTATAATAAAAATATAAAATATGTTTAAAAAAAATATATATACACATTTTATTTATAAATTCAACCCCCATCATGTTCATAAATTCATAAACATTATTACTATAAACTAGTATAATACAAAAAAAACTAATTTTAAATTTAATTTACTTTTATCTTTAGCAGAATAAAAATAAGAAAAATAATTGTAAATTTAAAACTTTTTATCTTTTCTTAGATATATATAGTCAGCCATTCCCACTATTGGTTACAAATTATTTACAAATTTTATTAATGACTGGTATAAATATACTTTATACCTGTCAAATTACATTACATAAATCAAATGCACATACAAACATACCTACAGTATGAGAAAAAGGAGTAGGTGAATTAATTTTAAACATATACTTAGAATTTTCCTTAAAATAATCTACAGCAAATGGATGTAAATAATGAGAATCATCTCGAATTTGAACTACAAACAAGTCCATCATCCGAGAATCTGGATATATCTGCAGAAAGAAAAACGAGATTGGATATTATAGTATTTTCATGAGTAATATGTAATAATTTGAAATAAAAATATTATTACAAATATTATGGCAGTACATATACCTTCCACAAGTTTGGAAACATTTTACATTTTACAGTTAAACAATAGTATGACAGCTTTCTGTCATAAATAAAAATGTTATTTAAATATTTTACGTTTTTTCACAATTTATTCATACAAAAAATCTGCACAGATCGCTGTCATACGATTGTTTAACTGTAAAATGTAAGGTGTTTCCAAACTTGTGGAGAGTACTGTATTTAATATATGTATTTGTGTGTTTGTGTGCAAAATTTATTTAAATTATAATAACATAATTTACATGTACTTATTAACTACACTTAATATATTTTTTAATAGTTTATATATAATAAAAATTTAAATAACAGTTTTTTTTCTATAATTAGCTTAATAAATATGAAACAACCTTATCGATGATATATGATTCGAGGAACACAACGAAGCCTTTGTTCAACCACCAGGAAGATGGACATAACAAATAGAAGAAATTAATAAACCAATAATGTAATATATTATGAGCTACTGAACGCATTGCTAAAGTTTTAAATGCAACAGGATAAAATTCTTCGTTGTAGATAATATTTGTTTTGCTGAAAATTGTTTGTAAATAAATAATTTTTATCAAAATATTTTAAAAGTTAATAATATTATATTATTATATTATTATTACTATTATTATCATTATATTATATAATTATATTATATCATTAGATTGTTATTATTTGTAATATTAATATACATATACATATATATATATATATATATATATATATATAAAGTTTTCAAATTAATAACTTAAATTTTTAATGATACACAAAAAGTAAAGTATTATTAAATATAAATGTCTATATATCAAATGACTATTACGTGATATATCTAAGTTCTTGTGTAATTTAACTATAACATTTAACTGATTACGATGATTTATTGAACTAACTTATCAAAATTATTTTAGATATCAATATATGTTATATATATATATATATATACTAGCTTTTCGGACCGCGCTTCGCGCGGTCCTCAAAGCCTTTCTCATTCCTCATAGCCTATATTATAAATCCGTTTTAACACAAAAAATTAATTCTTTTTTTGTATTACCGCGAACTACTTCCACATTTGTTGTCCGACTTTCACGAAATTTATATCAAAATAAATGTTTAAATTTTTTTTGGATGACTACTATGTTATCTATTTCTTTCTCCCAGATATTTTATTTTACACCGCGTTTTGCATATATTTAAATATTTATTATATATTTTTATTTTTATTTTCTTGTTTATTTTAATTTCCACACAATTTCATATTTTTTAAATATAAAACATTATTTTAGTTAATATATACTTTAAATATTTTTTTTATTACTTAATTATTATATCCTTTTTTACATTTTACTCAATTTTTTTATTTCTAATGTACCCACCGCTAACCCGCTATTATTAGCTCTCATACAATGTCATAATTCTTCAATTTACAAAATTTCCCTGTATATTACATTTTTTGTAAAACATTTTTCACTTTCTTCAATTAAATGTCCTTGATTGCTACATTCATCAATTTTTTACACTTTCTCTTTTTGTTGCTCTAGAAAATGCCACATAAAGTTGACCATGAGCAAATACAGGATGTGGCAAATAAATTCCAATTTTTTCTAAACTTTGTCCTTGTGATTTATTTATTGTCATAGCAAATGACACTCGAATAGGAAACTGTCTTCGTTTAAACTTAAATGACAGTTCCAAATCATTTGTAATTAAATCTATCCTCGGAATCATAACAATTTGTCCTCGAGCAGGACCTGTTATAACTTCTACATAAATTATATTAATTATTTTTTAAATTAGTTATAATAAATCTTATACCATTACAAAGTCCTTTTTTAGTATTTAAATTTCTTAATAAGATTACTGTAGCACCAACTTTTATTTTAAGCCGATGAACTGGCATTCCAGAAGGTGTCAGTGAGTTTAGAAACTCAGTTGGAAAATTTAATTGCTCCTGTGGATCATCACTTACAATACAGTCAATAAAGGCAAATTTTTTAAAAATTACTTCTTGGTGTGACCAAGTCAATAAATGCGTATGCACATGGGTGCGTGGATACGTGGGTGGGTGCGTGGGTGGATAAATAAAGTGATAAAAATTTGTTAAAATCATATAGTAGCCATCCCGGACAAAATTTGAGTACAAATTTCGAAAAAGTCTGTGAATAAATGTTTGAATGCGTGGGTAGATGCATGGGTGGGATAAAACTTAAAAGAACCACACAGCAGCTTTCTCAGAAAAATTTGCAACATTTTTGTACCAATTTCGTGAAAATTGGTCCATAAATGCGCATGCGTGTGGGTGAATGCGTGGGTGGAGGTGTAACACTTGAAAAAACCACATCGCCGCCATCTCCAAAAAATTTGCAACATTTTGGTACCAATTTTTACAAAAATCCGTTCATAAATATGCGATTGCGTGGGTGGATGCGTGGGTGGGGGCGTAAACTTAAAAAACCCACACAGCAGCTTTCTCAGAAAAATTTGCAACATTTGTACCAATTTCGTGAAAATTGGTCCATAAATGCGCATGCGCGTGGGTGGGTGCGTGGGTGGAGGTGTAACACTTGAAAAAACCGCATCGTCGCCATCTCCAAAAAATTTGCAACAATTTGGTACCGATTTAAAAAAAATCGGTTCGTAAGTATGCGATTGCGCGGGTGGGTGCGTGGGTGGAGGCGTAAACTTAAAAAACCCACACAGCAGTTTCCTCAGAAAAATTTGCAACATTTTGGTACTAATTTCGTGAAAATTGGTCCATAAATGCGCATGCATGTGGGTAAATGCGTGGGTGGGTGAGTGGGTGGAAGTGTAACACTTAAAAAAACCGCATCGTCGCTATCTCCAAAAATTTTGCAACATTTTGATACCATGTGTTCAGAAATATTGCAAAAAAAATTTTTTTTGCAAAAACATACCCTCCTCTGAGGAAAAAAAATAAAAATTAAAAAATTAAAAAAAAAACCCACAGCAGCCACCCCCGAAAAATTTGCAACATTTTGGTACCAATTTCGAGACAATCGGTCCACAAATGCGGAAGTAGTTCGGGTACAGACAGACAGACAGACAGACGGACGGTGCTTATATATATAGATATATATATATATATATGTATTTAAAATTTG